TGCTGCATTTTTAAATGTTTGGGCAGGAACATTAGAACAGTGGTGGTCAGGGGTGGCTAGTCCTTGAGGTGGTGCTGGTGCAGAATGATTTTCCATAATCCATAATTTTGCCCCCTAAAGCCTTCCCTCAACTTTTACATGAGGTCAACTTATGTATAAGTAGGTATGGTAAGTGGCTATTTGGGGAAGTCTTTAATAGGATTGAGAATTTCATTTCAGACAAGTCAGCTTCCCATTCCTTTGCTCTCTCTCTACAGGGGCTGGAGTGAAGAGGCCACCATCTAGTCCTCCCTTAGCTCTTCCTCTTTGGGATGGATTGGAACCTGTACAGGTAAGGAGGCGGGTCTGGGAGAAGAGACTGAAGCATTGTGGAGATCTCTAGTTCCTGGATCACATCCCCGAGAACACTAGCCAAAAACTCGCTCTTCACAGAAAGAACTGGAGCACTGGACTTCTAAAAGCCTGGGTTTGAATCCCTGTGTATTCAACCAATTTAACATTGTCCTTATTCAATGTATCTTCTTTTTTCTTGACTACCCAAGACAGGGGTCGGGAACCTTTGGCCCTCCAGCTGTGGTGGACTTCAACTCCCACAATTCCTTGAGGCTCGGCATTCGCCCCAAAGGCTTACCTTGGCCCAACGAGGTTTGTTTGGCTCTTTTTCATGGAGGACGGGCAGCAAAGGGGGAGAGACGAGCGTAACGTAGCTGTGCAGATGGCGAGGAAGGATGCGGAGCCTACAGACTGGCCTCGGAGGGAGAGAGCGGGCGGAAACCCCTGCGGGCAACGCGCCTCCTCGCCGCTTAAACAGCGCAGAGCCCTTTCCCTCCAGCCTTCGCCTTCCCTTTTCCCCGACAAGCTCTGCACGACGTCACTCAGCCGGCGTCGTTGCTAGGGAGGGGGTCCATGCGGGGCGGGTGCTAAGGGCCGAAGCGGCGAGGAAGCGCGTTGCCCGCAGGGGTTTCCGCCCGCTCTCTCCCTCCGAGGCCAGTCTGTGGGCTCCGCATCCTTCCTCGCCATCTGCACAGCTACGTTACGCTCGTCTCTCCCCCTTTGCTGCCCGTCCTCCATGAAAAAGAGCCAAACAAACCTCGTTGGGCCAAGGTAAGCCTTTGGGGCGAATGCCGAGCCTCAAGGAATTGTGGGAGTTGAAGTCCACCACAGCTGGAGGGCCAAAGGTTCCCGACCCCTGACCCAAGAGAAGGAAATGGGTAGCTTTCTCCATACTTATTTATTTTATTTTATTTTATTTATTTACTATATTTGTATATTGCCCTTCTCAGCCCTCAGATGACTCAAGGCGGTTTACAGAGGCAACGATTCGATGCCCAAAAACATAATAAAACATTTAAAGTATTAATACATAGTATAAAACCACAACAAGAGTAATAAAAACATAAGCCACTTGCGTCTCCTAATTAAAAACATTATCCATCTCCTTCCAGTCGTTCCAAGTTCCTATGTCTTTTACATTGCATTTTCAAACTCTTGCTCAAACAGCCAGGTTTTGACTCTTTTCCGGAATGTTAAGAGGGAGCAGACCAATCTAATGTCCCTAGGAAGGGGCCACTACTGAGAAGGCCCTGTCTCTCGTCAAAGGCCCATCGAGGCCAGCATCCTTGGGCCCTTCCACATAACCCTATATTCCAGAATATCAAGGCAGGAAATCATAGAATCATAGAGTTGGAAGAGACCTCATGGGCCATCCAGTCCAACCCCCTGCCAAGAAGCAGGAAAATTGCATTCAAAGCACCCCCGACAGATGACCATCCAGCCTCTGTTTAAAAGCTTCCAAAGAAGGAGCCTCCACCACACTCCGGGGCAGAGAGTTCCACTGCTGAACGGCTCTCACAGTCAGGAAGTTCTTCCTAATGTTCAGATGGAATCTCATTTCTTGTAGTTTGAAGCCATTGTTCCGCGTCCTAGTCTCCAGGGCAGCAGAAAACAAGCTTGAACCCTCCTCCCTATGGCTTCCCCTCACATATTTATACCTGGCTATCATGTCTCCTCTCAGCTTTCTCTTCATCAGGCTACACATGCCCAGCTCTTTAATTCCACAATATCTGCTTTTAACTGGGTTATCTGAGTCCACATTACCATATATTCCAGTTCAAAGCAGATAATGTGGGATTTTCTGCCTTAATATTCTGGGATATAGTGCTGTGTGGAAGGGCTAACCAGAGTGGCCAACCAGATACCTTTAGGAACCCTGCAATCCAAGCTTAAGGCTATAGCCGACTCTTGTTCTTCTGCCGGAGCCATTGGTGTTCAGAGCAATTGGTGTCTCTGGTAATGGACCAACAAGTGCAGCCTTTTGCATGTTGTTTCTTTACTGTCCTCTTATGAGCTCTGAGGGCCCCCTGATGGTGCAGCGGGCTAAATGGCTGAGCTGCTGAGCAGCGGGTTAAACGGCTGAGCTGCTGAACTTGCTGACCCCACACCCTGGGGAGTGGAGTGAGCTCCTACTGTTAGGCCCAGCTTCTGCCAACGTAGCAGTCCCAGTAGACTCAAATCAAGGAAAAGCTTTATGAGAACCACCACTCCTCTTGGCATCCCCACAGCAACAACAAGGGTCTCCTTCTGGGCAGTTAAACCAGGAAATGCCACCTGGATTGTCCCCCGTGAGGGTCTTCCTCCAGGGGCAAACCAAGAATGGGCAATTAGGAAGTCCCTGAACAGACTCAGAAGTGGAGTGGGCAAATCTAAGGACAACTTGGCAAAATGGCACTACCTAAAAGAATCCCACACCTTGTGTGACCGTGGAGCAGAACAGACAACTCCATATCTGTATGTTTGTCCACTGTGCCCCGCCTCATGTACAGAGGAAGAAATGTTGGAGGCTACAAACAATGCCGTTGCTGTTGCCCGTTTTTGGTCAAAAGATATTTAGCCGCTTGCGCTTCTTCTATTTTTATCAGTTTTATACAGATTTATGCAATGCTTTTGATATGAAAGAAATAAGGTCAAAACATGCAAATGTGAGTAAATCAATAGGTACCGCTTCTGTGGGAAGGTAACGGCACTCCATGCAGTCATGCTGGCCAAATGACCTTGGAGGTGTCTACGGACAATGTTGGTTCTTTGGCTTAGAAATGGAGATAAGCACCAAACCCCAGGGTGGACACGTCTAGACTTAATGTCAAGGGGAACCTTTACTTTACTTGGAGCTGTGAGAAGGAAACATTTCCTTTTCCTTTCAGGGCTGGGTCACTTTTGAGGACGTGGCTGTCCATTTCTCCCCGGAGGAGTGGGCTCTTCTGGATCCTGATCAGAGGGCCTTGCACACACATATCATGGAGGAGACCCATCGGATTATCACCTCTCTTGGTAAGACTCTTTCAGGGATTATAATTTCTGTTTCAAAATGCAATGATCACCATAAAGACAATAGTGCTTTTTCTGATTGGGATTAGAATCCTTGTTATACCAGTCACTGGGAGATCCTTATGTTTGAGTGAGAGAACTACACTCCAATTCCCAACTGCTTTCATATATTTGGCTAGTGCTTCTTTCAGCTTGGCTAGCAGAGAGAAATGCTGGGAGCAGTAAGTCATCAGCACTGGGTGGGCTGCCTTGAATGACTCTAGAGACAACGGATTATTAGGGCTAATAGTAGAAAATTATTTTTTCATTATCTTGCATTTCTACAGGAATGTTCTTTAGATAGTATTTTGGCAGTATGGTTGATTTAACGTGGATTTTTTTAAAAAAAATTATTTATTTACTACATTTGTATACCACCCCTCTCAGCCTGCAGGCGACTCAAGGCGGTTCACAAGGCAACAATTCAGTGCCATCAACATCATAAAAACATTAAAACACTTAAAAGCATTAACATATCAAGCAGGACCATAACAATAATAAAAAACAAATCAATTCGTCTCCTAGATAAAAAAGACTTTCTCTTGATTTTTCATATTAAAAGTTCATAGTTATGCCATAATCTGTTCCTAATTATGAATTTGTAAAAAAAATGTGTTTTTCCCACATTTAAGAAAAAATTATCTTTATTATATCATTTTAACTTCCCTCAGTCTTAATTCGAATCTGGTTAGCTTTAAAAATATTACTATTATTTGAAACACAAGATTTAGACTGAATTGGATGTTGTTTTTAATGTGATGAATTGTTTTTATATGTATTTTAGAACTTATTTATCATATGTTGTTTTATGACATTATTTATTGTATAACATTGAATGTTGCTGTTAGCCATTCTGAGTCCCTCCACTGAGGTAGAGAAGAACAGGATACAAAAGTTCTAAATAAATAAACAAATAAATAAATAAAAGATTAGTACACAGTAAACAAAATCACTATGCTGGCTTTTACATTGGATCACATGTTGGACACTTCCCAAGTGTCTAGGGCTGTGTGATGTATCGACAAATAATGCATGCAGATCCAAGTAGGGTGGCCTTTTGCACCTGACAGATGGTAATTTTGTCAACACCAATTGTTTTTAAGTGCAGGCCAAGGTCTTTAGGCACTGCACCCAGTGTCCCGATCACCACTGGGACCACCTTGACTGGCTTTCCACTTACACTGAGGAATGATTGTTTTTTGTTCTTTCCAGCAGATAACTGGATGAAGAGCAATGTGGGCACCACATCTGGGAGGCACTTTTTGGACAGATGGAAACTCACTGGACACCAGAAACACCACACAGAAATGGAAGGCTCTACTAAAAACAAGGCTTTCAAATGCAGTGTCTGTGGGAAAAATTTTGCCCAAAGTATGGCACTTCTGCTGCACAAGAGTCTTCACGATGGAAAAAAATACAATGGACGTAAAGTCTTAAGGAAAGGGTTTCATTACAAATTGCAGCATCCAAGCCATCAAGGAGCCCACAAGCAAATGAAAAAGCACAAGTGCAAGGAATGCGGCAAACACTTTGCTTGCAATTCTGTTCTAGTCATTCACCAGAGAGTCCACACAGGAGAGAAACCATATCCATGCCTGGAGTGTGGGAAATGCTTCTCTACCAATTCAATCCTGGTGAATCACCGGAGACTCCACACAGGAGAGAAACCGTATAAATGTCAGAACTGTGAAAAGTGTTTCTCTACCTATTCAAACCTTGCAAGCCATCAGAGGGTCCACACAGGAGAGAAACTATACCAATGCAACGAGTGTGGGAAATGTTTGTCTGACAAGTCTTACCTTCTTGACCACCAAAGAATCCACACGGGAGACAAGCCATACCAGTGCGAGGAGTGTGGGAAATGTTTTTGTACAAACTCGAGCCTTGCAAGCCACCGAAGAGTCCACACAGGAGAGAAACCGCACAAATGCCAGGAGTGTGGGAAATGCTTTGTTCGCAGTTCGTACCTTGCGATCCACTGGAGATTGCACACAGGAGAGAAACCATACAAATGCCAAGAATGTAAAAAGCACTTTGTTTGCAAATCTGAACTTGTGAGGCACCAAAAGAGGCATAAAGGAATGAAACCGTACACTTGCAACATATGCGGGAAATGTTTTTCTCGAAATTCCATCCTTGTGAGCCACCAAAGAGTCCACACCGGGGAGAAACCATACACATGCCAGGATTGTGGGAAATGTTTTGCTCAGAATGCACACCTTGCCCGCCATCACAGAATCCACACAGGAGAGAAACCACATAAATGCCAAGAGTGTGGGAAATGTTTCGCTCGGAAGGGACACCTAGTGATCCACCAGAGAGCCCACACAGGAGAGAAACCCTTTAAATGCCAGGAGTGTGGAAAATGTTTTTCGCACAGTGCCTATCTTGTGAGCCACCAGAGAGTTCACATGAGAGAGAAACAATACAAGTGCCAGGAGTGCGGCAAATGTTTTTCTAGAAATTTAAGCCTTGCAATTCACCAGAGAGACCACATAGGAGAGAAACCATATAAATGCCAAGAATGTGGGAAAAGTTTTGCTCACAGCTCACACTTTGTGGTTCATCAGAGAGTCCACACAGGAGAGAAACCATATACATGCCAAGAGTGCAGGAAATGTTTTTCTACCGGTTCCATCCTTGTGGCCCACCAGAGAGTCCACACAGGGGAGAAACCCTACCAGTGCCAGGAATGTGGGAAAGGTTTCTCCAAAAATGCAAACCTTGTCAGTCACCAGAGAGTCCACACAGGAGAGAAACCATATAGGTGTCATGAGTGCGGGAAACGTTTTGCTCACAGTTCATACCTTGCCATCCACCGGAGGCTGCACACAGGAGAGAAACCCTACCAATGCCAGGAATGTGAAAAACGTTTTGCTCGCAGGTCATACCTCGTGCAGCATGAGCAATTCCATGCGGGCGTGAAACCATACAAATGCCAAGAGTGCCGGAAATACTTTGTTTGCAGGTCGGAACTTGAGAAACATCAGAACAACCATGGAGGAGAACAGCCATACAAATGCCAAGTGTGTGGAAAGTGTTTTTCTCGAAATTCAACCCTTGTCAGCCACCAGAGAGTCCACACCGGAGAGAAACCATACCGATGCCAGGAATGTGGGAAATGTTTTGCTCAGAACGCACACCTTGTCATTCACCAGAGAATTCACACAGGAGAGAAACCGTACAAATGTCAGGAATGTGGGAAATTTTTCTCTCAAAATTCAAGCCGTGTGAGCCACCAAAGAATCCACACAGGAGAAAAACTAGAGAAATCCCATTAGTGTGGACTATATTTTGATAGTGTTCACTTGAAACAGCAGATTGTTCACAGAGGTGAAACAGTTTTAAAACTTCCTGAAGTGTGTGAAATGCTTTGTTTTCAAGCCAGAGTTTTAGACTCATTACAGCAGTGGTTCTTAGCCTGTGGGTCGTGGACCACTAGTGGTCCATGAGGACAAAAATCTGGTGCGCAAGCCTCCTTCCCCTTTATTCATGTATTTTATATTATTTATATTATTTTATTTTATTTCCACACCTTTCATGCTGCCTGCCATTTCTTTCCTGTCACTGACCAGCCCCGCCCCCTTGGATAGACCACGTCAGCTCTAGATGATTAAATAAGTTTTTTTGTGGGTGAGCAGATGGTGACTACTGGATGGCATATGTTCTGTATCAGAACTACAGCTGATGGGGTCTATCCAATGCAATATTCTGAATCAGCACCCCAAATAACCAAACCAAATCTAACGTTGACCAAAAACCCTTTTGGTACTAATGTTGGAGAGTGGTCCCAGGTCAAAGTGGTCCTTGGTCATATGGTCCCTGGTCAAAGTGATCCCTGGTCAAAGTGGTCACTGGTCATAATGGTCCTTGGTCAAAATGGTCCCTCGTCAAAGTGGTCCCTGGTCATGTGGTCCCTGGTCAAAGTGGTCCCTGGTCAAAATGGTCCTTGGTCAATGTGGTCCCAGGTCAAATGGTCCTTAGTCAAGTGGTCTCTGGTCAAAATGGTCCCAGGTCAAGTGGTCCTTGGCCAAGTGGTCCCTGGTCAAAGTGGTGCCTGGTCAAGTAGTCCTTGGTCCATGTGTATATGACTGTCAGGTCACTTCTCAGCCTGTTCCATGACAAATTTATTCAAACCCTTCAATTGTTTCTCACAGAGGTTTATTTCCAGAACTTGTATTACCTTGGGCACCCTAATCTTGTCTTCTTAAATATGAGAGCCAGAATTGGACAGGGTACACCAGGCGAGTCCTGGCCAAAGACAGCATACTATCGTTTCTCTTCATCTGTGTCCTGGCAGAAAGTATGCCAAGAAAGCAACGGAATCTCCCTGGCAACAACTTCGATATGTCACTGTAGGAAGGAAGGTTTGATAATCACTGCCCGGACCATCCTGGAAAAGAGAATCTCTACTCTCAACTAGTTATGGTTTCACTTCAGTTTGTAATATATGTCTCTTATGGATGTTTATATGCATGTATCAAATGTTGCTTTATAGCAACAGTTGTGTATTCCTTCCACCAAAGCCTGTTTAGAGATGTTCCTGCCTGTTCCTCAGCAGATCGGTTTGCATTCTATAGTGGATAAATGGCTAAGTTATATTATTTCAACTAGTAATGGTCCTTTATGTGTTTATTAATTTAGTAATCGGCAATGAATGCTTCCCGTATATGTGTTCTGTGATCCGCCCTGAGTCCCCCTTGGGGTGAGTTAGGCAGAATATAAATACTGTAAATAAATAAATAAATAAAATATTATAAACATGACTGCTGGGGTGGTGCAGAGGATATAAAGACACGATTCTTGGGGAAATCTAACACCTTACCTGCCATATACTGTACTGTAATGTACTGTGTGTTTCCTTACAGGTAATGCAATGTCACAAAAGTCGTGCACCTAGACGTTCAAATATTTCTTCCTAAAGGGAATGCATTTGTATCTCTGTGACTGCATATAATAAATAACCTGAAAAGCTTAACAGAGAGCCTGCTCCTTCTCCAATATAAATCCTGAGATTGCCATCCTGAAGATTATACTAGCCTTACATCTTTTTTAATACTTGCAAACTTGTGGATGAAGGGGATGTTGTAGATGTGGCATGTCCCCATGATATTCTTTAAAACAAGCTAAGAAAATGTGGGCTAGACAATGTTACTACTACATGGATTTGTATTTGGTTGACTGACCAAACCCAAAGGGTGCTCAGTTTTAACCTGAAGTGACTAGTGGAGTGACTACTTCAAGACCTTTATCAATGACTTAGATCATAGTTTTCTAAACTGTGTATTGTGACACATTAGTATTTAGCCTGCACTTTGTAGGTGTGTCATAGAAACGTAATGAGAAATACCTATGTGAAATAAGCAAAAATTAATATATATATATATATATATTTGAATATAAATAAAAGGTTTCCATGGGATTTGTTGAGTTTCCATACATTTCATTACCAGAATTTTTATATATGTTTCCGTATCTCTAATAAAAGGGTGGCTTAACCCAGGTATGGGCAAACAGAAAGGAGGAAACCATGAAAAAAAACAAACTCTGGTTACCAGTATTAAAAAAAATCTAAAATTATATCAGTAAAACAACACTCAAACACAGGAGAACTCCAGAGAGGAAATAATCAGGGACAGCTAATTACCTCTCAACAAAAGATTCCCCCAGGCACCAACAAGCCACACCAAAAAACTGCCAGGCCATCAAATGCTAATCAAGGTATCCAATTGAAACATTCACACCTAGCTCCAGCAGACAAGAGTTCTTTCTCCCACCCTAGACATTTCCACAGATATATAAACCCCATTTTCCTAGTTTCCAATAGACCTCACAACCTCTGAGGATGCCTGCCATAGATGCAGGCGAAATGTCAGGAGAGAATGCTTCTGGAACATGGCCAGACAGTCCAGAAAATAACAACAACAACACCAACTCCCCAAGGGGACTCAGGGCAGTTTACAACAAAAGTAACAAAGTGACAAACTTTCAGTGCCAAAGCGAACAAAGAACAAATCAACTGGAGCTTCTGTGGCCTGCTGAAGGGCAATAACAAAGCCCTCCTGAGCCCAGCCTGGTGGAGGGTAATGATGAGGCCTTCTTGGGCCCGGCCTGCTGAAGGGAGATGATGAGGCCCTCCAGGGCCCAGCCTGGTGGAGGGCGATGACGAGGCCCTCCTGAGCCTGGCCTGGTGGAGGGCGATGAGAGGCCTTCTTGGGCCCGGCCTGCTGAAGGGCGATGACGGGGCCCTCCAGGGCCCAGCCTGTTTGAGGGCGATGATGAGGCCCTCCTGAGCCTGGCCAGGTGGAGGGCGATGAGAGGCCTTCTTCGGCCCGGCACGCTGAAGGGAGATGACGAGGTCCTCCAGGGCCCAGGTGGAGGGCGATGAGAGGCCTTCTTGGGCCTGCCTGCTGAAGGCCAATGGTGAGGCCATCCAGGGCCCAGCCTGGTGGAGGGTGATGACGAGGCCTTCCTGAGCCTGGCCTGGTGGAAGCCAATGAGAGGCCTTCTTGGGTCAGGCTCGCTGAAGGGTGATGATGAGGCCCTCCAGGGCCCAGCCTGGTGGAGGGCGATGACGAGGCCCTCCTGAGCCCGGCCTGGTGGAGGCCAATGAGAGGCCTTCTTGGACCTGGCCTGCTGAAAGGCAATGGTGAGGCCCTCCAGGGCCCAGCCTGGTAGAGGGCAATGATGAGGCCCTACTGAGCCTGGCCTGGCGGAGGGTGATGAGAGGCCTTCTTGGGCCCGGCCTGCTGAAGGGCAATGATGAGGCCCTCCAGGGCCCAGCCTGGTGGAGGGTGATGACGAGGCCCTCCTAAGCCCAGCATGGTGGAGGCCAATGAGAGGCCTTCTTAGGCCCGGCCTGCTGAAGGGCAATGATGAGGCCCTCCAGGGCCCAGCCTGGTGGAGGGTGATGATGAGGCCCTCCTAAGCCCAGCATGGTGGAGACCAATGAGGCCTTCTTAGGCCCGGCCTGCTGATGACTCACAGCAGCAGTGATTCCGGCCATTCAACAGCCTACTATTGACCTCACTACCTCTGAGGAGGCTTGCCACAGATGCAGGCGAAACATCAGGAGAAAATGCCTCTAGAACATGGCCATATAGCCCGGGAAAACCTCCAACAACCCAGCCTACTGGATGTTAGGAACTGTGGAAGTTGAAGTCCAAAACACCTGGAGGGTTCGAAATTTGCCCATGCCTGCTGTAGAAGGAGAAAGGTGGGGAATAAAGAAAGGAATATTTTAATATTCTGTGGGATTTTGAACCCAAGGAGGCGCCAATATGGCTCTTCCAGGAGGGAGGCCTTCTTTATTTACTCTCCATACCGAAACTGAGAGCAAAGAGAGGCTCCTCCCCCTCCAGACTGCGTTCAGCGCTGTGATTGGACAAAAGGCCTGAATCCAGAGCCTGGGCGGGGCTTCGGTCACGTGACGGGAGGAGGCGGAGAGAGGAAGCACGTGACCGCCAGGCCGGAGAAGGAGGAAGGAAGAGAAGGAGGAAGGAGGAGGCCTGGGTATATGGAGCGGGGAGTCAGGGCTGGGAGGGCCTCAGGCGCCGGGGGAACTCGTAAACGAGAGGAGAGGGCTCCGAGGATCCGTCCAGAGGGACTGCGAGGCCGAGAGGGAGCTGGAGAGGCCTTTGGAGKKAAAGGCCAAGATGGCGGYCCTTCTCTCTCTCTCTCTCTCTCTGTCTCTTSAGGTTGCCATGGAGACCAGGCCTTTGGTGGTGGTTGGAGGGAGGCCTTCTCCTTTTTCTCCTCGCCCCGCCGCCTTCCCAGGCAGAGTGTAGCGGTGTTGATACAGATTTGAGAATAAGGAGGGGGGGGGGGGGTTTAATAAGTTAAAGGGAAAGTCAGGAGCTTCCCCTTGTTTTTCTAGGGAAGGCTGTGGGTATTTATTATTTACTAGCCGTCCCTTGCCAGGCGTTGCTGTGGCCCACTCTGTATATATGTGTTTTGTGTGTATATATGTGTACTAGCCACCCCCTGCCACGCGTTGCTGTGGCCCAGTCTGTATATATGTGTTTTTTGTGTTTGTATATATGTTTAAATATTTGTGTATCTATGTATATATGTGTGTTTGCGTATATGTGTATGTGTATATATGTGTTTGTGTGTGAAGATGTATATATATTTGTGTGTTTATATGTGTATATGTATATTGAGTATAAGACAATTATGCTGGGGAAAGTGGAAGGCAAAAGGAATAGAGGCCGACCAAGGGCAAGATGGATGGATGGCATCCTTGAAGTGACTGGACTGACCTTAGAATCATAGAATCAAAGAGTTGGAAGAGACCTCATGGGCCATCCAGTCCAACCCCCTGCCAAGAAGCAGGAATATTGCATTCAAATCACACCTTGAAGGAGCTGGGGGTGGTGACGGCCGACAGGGAGCTCTGGTGTGGACTGGTCCATGAGGTCACGAAGAGTCAGAGACGACGGAACGAATGAACAACAACAACATATTGAGTATATGTGTGTGCTTGTCTATATGCATATTTGTGTTTATATATGTGTGCATGTATGTGTGCACATGTATATTTGTATGTGTATATGTATATATGTGTGTATGTAGATGAGTGTGTGTATATTTGTGTATTCTTGAGTATATGTTGTTGTTCATTCATTCAGTCGTCTCCGACTCTTCGTGACCTCATGGACCAGCCCACACCAGAGCTCCCTGTCAGCCGTCACCATCCCCAGCTCCTACCGACATATCTCTGGTTGTACTAGTCCATTTAGTTTTCTTGGCAAGGATACTGGGGTGGTTTGCCATTGCCTTCCCCAGGGATCACGCTATATGTATATACACATGTGTATGTGTGTGTGCATGTGTGTGTGTGTGTATATGGTGTATTTTTTGGATTTTTAAGTCCGTTCTGCTGGGTTGTTTTGTTGTTGTTTTTTGTAATTTTAGGGGTGATGAACACCCATTGGTCTGTTAGGGGTGTACTGTCCAAATTTCGTGTCAATTTGTCCAGTGCTTTCTGAGTTCTGTTAATCCCACAAACAAACATTACATTTTTACTTATATAGATATGTGGTTTTGTGCATGCGTTGTAATTGATTTTGTTTTTGTTTTTTGAGTTTCTTCTGCTGTGCTTTTATGAGTGATGGTCACTCGTTGACCTGATAGGTGTGTTGTGTCCAAATTTGGTGTCAATTCGCCCAGTGGTTTTTGAGTTATGTTAATCCCAAAAACTAACATTACATTTTTATTTATATAGATTTATTTATTTACGACATTTATGTGCCACCCTTCTCACCCCAAAGGGGACTTAGAGCAGCTTACAAGTTATATGTGCATATAATATATTATTAGCATAGCACAATATTGGCATTATATATTACTATATTGTTCTAAACTACTAAATTGTAATATTACATGTAATATAAAATATGTAATTATATTATATTGGGAGGTTGTGTGTTTTCCAGGCTGTATGGCCATGTTCCAGAAGCATTCTCTCCTGACATTTCACCTGCATCTATAGCAGGCATCCTCAGAGGTTGTGAGGTTTGTTGGAAACTAGGAAAATGGGGTTTATATATATCTATAGCAGTGGTTCTCAACCTGGGGTCCCCAGATGTCTTCGAATCGGTCTTCAGTCCTGCCGGCACAAGGATTTAACCCACTGCACCACTGTGCTGCAATATATTTCTCAGGCCCAGGCGCCCACTTGCCTGTACAGCCCCCTCCCAAGAACACAGGAATACCAGGGTCTAGTTTTTAACCATACTGCTTCTATTTAATTTGTTTTAAACTTTTGTATGGCACCTTTTAAACTTGCCTAGTGTGGAGTGTTAGCTGCCTTGAGTCCCCATGGGGAGAAAGGCGGGGTATAAATAAAGATGATACATAAATAAATAGTAAGGATAACACAGATTTGAACAGAAGGGGAATATAAGGCTATCAGGAAGATGCCCCCCTACTCTAACAAATGTAAACCCAATTTCTTGACTTTTCAGAGTTTTGGAT